GGTAAACCGGGAAGCAAGACTATAAAAGTATCTTCATAAAACTGGTTGGCTTACCTTGAGGGTAAATTGTTACAGTGCTAATTTTAGTTTAAATGTTACTGCCAAGTTATTTCAAAGTGTTTTACAAAGTCAATGATTCAACCAGGGGTTGGACTGACAACTCATGGGGCCCCCGGGCAATAGGGGATCATGGGGCCCCTGTGTCCTTGTCTAAAATCAAAAAAGCCTATGAAAAAGGTACCAGGGGCATCTCATGGGCCCCCCTACTGACCCCGGGCCCTCGGGCAGTGCCCGAGTTTCCAAATGATCAGTCTACCCCTGGATTCAACGTAATTCAAAGAATCTCATTTAAGCGGAATTCCAGCAGTTTCTGCGTTCATTAAACATCAGCAGCTACAAAAACTGAAGCTGCTGACTTTTAATAAACACCCACTTACCTGTCCCAGGGTCCAGCGATGTTTTCACCCACACAGTCCCTTCTCCCCTTCTCGGATCTGGCATCTCAACTGTGGGCACCAGGCTGTGACAGCTTGCGGCTTCACAGCCTGGTGCCCATGGCACATGCACAAGTCGCGCTGTGCCTCCTAATTGGTCCGGCCATCTTCTGGGACCTGTGAAAGTTCCCAGGAGACTGCGGGAGGGAGGGGGGACCAAACTTCCGGCTCACTTCGCCGTGGCAAAAACAGGCATCCCCCCCAAAAGGTGCAAAGTATGGCAGTGGAGGGGGAAAGGAGGCAAATAAGCAGAGCTTCCGCTTTAAAGTTCACCTTTAAAAAAAAAAAAAAAAAATGAATATTTTTTTGTAGGTAAAACAAAAAATGTGCATTCATTATTTTTCTTTTTTAGGAGCCTTTAAAGCATTGCAGATGCAATGTCAGGCTCCTGCAGCCTGTCTGTGTAGCTGTCTGTCCATACCTCGTATGGGCAGGCAGTTACTTCAGTCCAGGAAGAATCAATAAACTACGAGGATGCTCACCAACGCCCTGGCAGTTCAATGAGAACAATAAGCTGCCAGCTGCAAAGGATGTCGGTACTTGTAGTGTATGTATTCACAGAACTCTGGCTGGAGCCCCACACAGCCTTGCTCTTTTCATATTGTTACAGCAGGTATGGGGAGAAGATCCCTTTCCTGCTGTCACAATGAGGAGGGGGATCAGGAGAAGAGCTGCAGGTCATGAACATGTGGTACATGTAACATGTTCTCAAAGATGAACTTATCCTTTAAAGTGTAGCTTTGGATATAGTAGAGAAGGGTTAGACCCGCTGTCAAATTTTAATTGCTGTCTGTTTACTCAATGTCACTGAGACAAAAAGTGGAAGCCCTAAATTTTAGAGCTTACATGAGAGCAACATTTTATAAACCTTGTTTTTTTTCTACAGTTTGTAAATAGATGTATAAGCAGGTAGTCATATTTGCTTATTACATGTGTGGAGACTGCTTCCTGAGGAATGTTGGGGATGTCCTAAAGTAACTATTTCTATTCTAATTTTTTTTCTTTTTTCTTTGGATTCAGCTATGTTTTACAGAATCACTACAGGAACACATGCCATCAGTCATTTCCTATTGTTATTCTAGAAAACTACAACTGTGCTAAAGTTAGAAAGTGCAGCATAATGCACTGCAGTCATATTTCACACAGCTCCTCACATAATGGTAAGTCTATGTCCTAAAGTCTGCCTTGTACAATCTCTCTCTGCTTAAAGTACCAGTACCGAGTCTGAATCTGTCTGGTAGTTATGAGAAACCCCAAAGTATTGCCCATTTAGTCACAACAGTCATTAAGGCCTAGAGAGGCTCCTGTATGCATGTCAAGCCTTTATGTTCAGGCTTAAAGAGGAACTAAACTGTATCTGAGCTCCACAAACTGAAAATGCTATTTAATTCATTTTTAATATTCAAAGCAAGCTCACCCATTCCATCCATGTCTCCATTCTTTATTTTTTTCTCAGAGATCACTTTGAAAAACACCCCCTAGCATTTCTAGCCCTGGCCATCTTGAATGATTCATTTAGCATTTACTTCCTGGAATCCATCTGCCCTTAACTCATGCCTGCAGGCAGGAGGGTGTGCTTAGCTGAGAAAGCCCTCCTTCAAGATGAAAAAAAATGTCAATGATAACTACTGGAATGTATGTCATCATTTCGATCTAGGACAGAAACCAGGAAGCAACTAAAGAAATGTAAAAAAAAAAAAAAATGTTTAAAAAACGATCAAAAATAATATACTTTCCTATCCATTTACTAAATTCCTATCTAATAACTAATTTACTAATCAGCATAAGGATTAAAAATAGTTAATGCTTGTTGAGAGAGAGATCATGCACAAGGCCAATCAGGGCAGTACGCTAGCCATAGAGTGTATTTCTGCAGCAGGTAAGGTAAGGTGTTTCTAATCAGTCATGGACTGGAAACCTGTGCAAATCAATGACCGGCTGACACTGTTCACATGCAACCCCACAAAGTCATTAGCTGTGATTAGGGATGGATGCAGACAGTTTGTGTACTTGCGACAGAAATGTGATGATCTGGGTGGTGTACGGCTCTGATTGGCCATGTGCATAAGTCCTTAACTTGTGTATAACTCTTAAGTCTTCAGGGATCATTTATAGTATTGTTATATCCTACCATATTTATCCTTCTCGTTACCCTCCCACTTTTTACTTTATAATTTCTGTTTCACTTTATCAGAATCAGTAGTGGTGCAGCGCTAAATAATGATAAAATCGTACTCAAAAAAACTCATCAAAAGACGCTAAAGTTCATGAATGACAATATATAAATGATATAAAGTTCAAAAGGTGAATAAGGAGAATTCCTCTGTGTCCTCCATTCCTTTACCTCACACTTCTTATAGTGGTCCCTCAGGTATCATGGCCTCTCAGTCAGTGGAGTATTAAAATTTCAGACACCCAGTTAAAGACACAGATCCATCCCAGTATCCAGAGAGGGATCTCCCTCACCCCTTAAGGGGATCTCTGGCTGTCTTGGATCACCACTAAAGCCCTGGAATTCTTTGATGTACCTACCCACCCTTCAGGGGAAAGTCACCCCTTCACCTGGCTCATCCTGAGGACATGTGGATTTATATTCACATGCGCATTTAAATTGCGCGTCTGGTGAGTGTGCAATTTTATCACAACTAGTTGCACAATCACCGGATTACCAGTGAAGCAGGCACCTTCGGAGCACTATAGTTTCCTTTTGAACTTTATATCATTTATATATTGTCCATTCATGAACTTTATTTAGTGCCTTTTATCATTATATAATGCTGATCTGTTTTATTGAGGTTTTATCTTGGTTACCTTTGTGCATAGCTGCTTCCCCCTTTTTTAGCACGCTCACATAGTCTTAACTTTATCAGAATGCCTTCGACTCTCCAAAAGATTTCTATTCTATGTTCCTTGGTATTCTTTCTTGGCTTATCACTTTCACTTTTTATCCCATGTCATGGTCTTTCATATAGATACTATGAAAGGGATCCGTTTTGTTTGCTAAAGGATTTGTATTCCTGTCTTTTCATTTTTGAGATTCACACAGCACAACACCGGCTGACAGGGGAGGAGACCTGATTTTTGAAGCTGAGTAACATTTACAGGTCTTGCCCCTACCAGCCTGTAACTGGACAACGTAGGGAGAAGCAACAGACCACTCAGCTCATCTCTGTCAATCTTCTCTCTCGTATCATCTGCAAAATATCAGATTACCTCCTTGCGTTTGCTTTGGTCTCTCCCAGCCTGAGATGTGCATATCTATCTATCTATCTATCTATATATATATATGTGTGTGACAGGATCCCTTTAAAGGCTAAAAGATTCCATTGCACAAGCTGTTTTATTTGGGACACCATTACCTTCATTACAATAGGCACTGAAGCCCTGTGATGTGAATTAAGTCCAAAGAAATTAATGGGGTTATACACATATTGCATTTTCCAGCTTTTAGGACCTGTTCGTGCTTGTCAGAGTTCCTGCTGTAAAATGGCTGTCTTACCACATGAAAATGCATTGCAAATAAAAATGGCAAGTATTACTATGAGGTTAGTTCACATCTATATGTTGCAGCTCAGTGCATTTTTAAAGACAAAACAGAATTAACCTGCTCTTACGTGACCTGAATGTTAAACACTCAAAAACACACTCTTAAAAAGGAGAAGTATAGCCAAAGCTCGTTTTGTTGTACTTCTCCTGCAGATCACAGGAGTGCAGTTCATTCTGCACTCCTGTCACCCGTTTTCAGATGACAGTGGGCTAAAGTCTGCTGTTGGCTGACGTCATTCAGCCTGTCCAGGCTGGGGAAAGATCCCGTCTTTAATGTCGGGATCCACCCAGATGTCTGGACCTGCACCTGGCTCAGCCTCTCAGCGATCCGCTGAGAGCTTGAGCCAGCTGCTTCCACCCCCTCCACAGCCCAGCGCTCCAGTGCAGTCTTTGACAGCTCAGTTCTAACTCTTAGAGCCGGTGGGGGACAGATGCAGTATCCACCTTTTTTTCCAGAATACATGCATTTTTGAATATCCTTCCCTAACTTTGCATAACATGTGAACAAAACCATGTATCAACATTCATGTTTATAACATGCATAAACACAAAAAAATGGGCAATAAAATGCACTATTAAACATTATAAACATACATTTTTTGCATGCCCCTGGATGTGAATGTGAACTAAGAATATGGCTGCACCCAATGGTAGGAAAAAAAAAAAAGACAAAGGTGTAATTTAAAAGGTGATTTTAGTGAAATCATGGCAGGTAACATATAATTCAGCTCTTTCTACTCCTTTTTTGCAGTGAGCAGCACTAGCAATAATATCAAGCTAATCAGATCATCATCACTGCAGTATGAAGTAATTCAGGAGATTACGATACTAAAATTACAGAAGACAGGGCCACTTGTATGACTGTGTAAATCAATGCAGAATTATGAAGATGAACCATAAAAGTAGATTCCTAAAATAGTATAAAATAATGCTTGCTTATTTTTTTTAATTTGATCATACCTCCATTCTGCTTTGTTATGTAAAAATGAATTGCACTGGTCTGGCAGCTTGCTGTCATTTGACATAGACTCCAAGTTTGCTATGATTTGTTTGAATGATGGTCTTTTCTAAAAAAAAAAAAAAAAAAAAAAAATTTAAAGCTACAATAACAAAATAAAGATAAACATTAGCTAAAACAAGGCTAAAAGATTTTTATTTTTTTGTTTTGGATACAGTGGGGAAGGGTTAACTGTCTTTAGCATGATTAACTGTTGTCTGTGCCCTCATACATGAGATTTTTTTCCCCTTTCCTTTCCATTTTAAAAGGTGTCAGATGAGAAGGGATGACACAGTAAAGTTTTTTTTTTTTTTTTTTTTGCATCCCTTACTCGTAGCCTTACCTTACTTATTTTCTCAGTGACATGTGTCAGACAGGACAGTATACTATATGGGTAAACATTTATGGCCAACTGACCATCACACCTATATGAGCTTGTTGGACATCCTATTCCAAAATCCTCTTTAATCCCGATGAATACAGCAGAGACAGCTGGGAAGCACTGTAGAAAACGATTAGCACCTCCAAGATAGAGTGTGCTCATGTAGTTTAATTTTTTCTATTAATTCCACAAGGCAAAGGAGCAAATTCGAGGGTTGCACCGATACCGATAACCGTATCGGTGCTGATACTGAGTACTTGCATGAGTACTTGTACTCGTGCAAATGCTCCTGATACCCAAAACCGATACCTTTGTGGTGTGATCTGAGCCCATACAAAATGAAAGGAATCCAATCACACTGCAAAGAATCGCGTGTGATTTGAACAGGAATGAGGTGCGATTCCTGTGCAAATTGCAAGTGATTTCCCCCACCACTCCTGTGTAATTCCACTACAGGAAGACAGGAAAGTGCCATCTAAGAAGTGCAGCAATGGGCAAACAGTTTAAAAAAATGTTATCACAACTCACATGTTAAAAGTGCGTAATATCTTGCACGTCAAAAACAAAACCGGCTACTAGCCGTGCTCACAGGGCTGGAGTAGAGGTATAAGAGGTCCGCCCCCCCCAAGCTGACATCACTTCTGTCCTATACCCACAGGCATTCCGGAACGTCCTACATCTTCTCCAGCCCCGTGAGCACCGCAAGTGGCCGGTTTTGGATTTGACATGCAAGATATTATGCACTTTCAACATGTGACTTGTAATACCATTTAAAACAGTTTGCCTATTGCTTCACTTCTTAGATGGCGCCTCCCTGTCTTTCTATAGCGGGATCACACAGCAGTGGGGTAAATCGCATGCGATTTCGACAGGAATTGCACCGCATTCTTGTTCAAATCACATGGGAGTCTTTGCAGTGCAATTTGAGCCTATTCATTTTGTATGGGCTCAAAATCGCACTGCAAAGGTATCGGTACTTGGTATTGGTAAGTACTTGACCAAAAGTATAGGTAATCGTATTTGACGATTAAAAAACAGTATCAATGCAACCCCTAGCAAATAGTCATCTAAATTCATGAAAAAAAAAACTTGAAAACCCAGGACAAGAAAGAAAAAAAACATTTCAGCAATTTTAACCAGCAACAGTTGGCGTTTCTTGTTTTCTATCATACAAGAGTTTAGACAAAAAGGTTGCTAAAAACTAAGGAAACAAAATAAGCTCCATGACTAATTACCTTTGAATCAGCTTCCCAGCATTGGCGCATGAGTTCTGCAAAACTTCTCGGACATGAGCTTGGAATGGTCAACCTCTGAAAATACACAAGTTAGAAGACTTTACTGGTCTACCCCATTGAGCATCTTAAAAAATGGCTTGTCTACAAAGTCATCTGCAACCTATCATACTTTTGGAAAAATAAACAAAAGGAAGAACATAGAAATAAAACAGCATTTTTTAGAAATTAAAGAGAAGTCACAATGGGCATTTGTAATAACCTAAACCTATATTCTGGAATGCTATGAAACCTCCAAAGGACTACTTGATTTCACTATTAAATCAAGTTGAAAGTGGATATTTAGATTTGTTACAAATAGCAATTCCTTATGGCCCTCTATAAAATACTTCCTGGAGCAACAGGGCTGACATGAAATAGACTGACTTGAGAAAAGCATCAGGGAAGACCCTGATCACCCATTTTAGGTCAGCCTCAAACATCCAGGAAATCTCTGCAAAGATAATTAAATTCCCTGTATGGTGGTACCCTCATTCTCAAACGATGACAGACAACGTGAAGACAGCCATGTGCCTAGAACGAGAACACTCCACCAAAATAGAAAGCCTGAAGAAAACATTGCAGAGCATGGAACAAAGTAAATATTTGATAGGTGTCAGCATAAGAGTTAAAGCATATGTAAAGCCAAAGATTTTATTTTGTTTTGAATAGATTGAGGAATTAAAACCTTTGTCAGGACTTTTTTTTTTACTGTCTGTGTTCCTTTTAGAGAGATTTACTCTCACTATTGGTGAAATGATGAAAAAAATTATAGGAAGTCCAAAATGTTTGAGTTGTCAGGACAGGAGGTAAGGAAAATCGTCTAATGGAGTAACCTGCTCCAGTGACAACTGTCTAAGAGGGATATCTTATCACTTTTAAGAGCTATCTTCTTACCTGCTACTGTGTCTCTGGACAGGAAAAAAAAAAAAAAAAGAAAAAAAAAATGACGGGGACAAAAACCATTCCCTACTCCATACAATACAGAAAAAAAAGGTTTTGGCTTCACATACACTGTATTTGAAGTCAACGCTTTATTTTTTATATGGTCAGTGCTTTTAATATTCTAACACTATACATTACGTGACTGATGAAGTCACTGGCAGCTGTTTTTTTAATATAGATTCAGAATTCTGCACAGATGAAAGAAGAAAAGAATTGACAGAATCACTCACAATCTCTCTCCTTTTTTCAGAGTAAAGAGATTGTGGTCTCTTTTTTGAAGCCAGGGGCATTGTAGTACAGATAGCTACCAAAGAAATATTATCGACAATAAACACTAGAACAGATAACACCTGCTAACTCAGGTTATGCATGAGTCAGTGCGCATGAACAGAACATCATAGACATCCCCCCAAGGACCAGGAAAAAAAAATCCATTCTGCTAGGAGTGAAAAAATGCTAAGCCTGGGCAAAATAGACTGCAGAGGATTCCAACCCTTAAGAAACGTACCTGGAGATAAAATATAAAATGGTCAATTGAGAGTTATTAAATTCCAGGCAAATATGTATAACAACCAGAACAAGGTCGATCGCTGGAGGTACAAGGAACTTGCCATTGGATGGAACTGGAAATGGAGGCTTTGTGTTAGAATTTAACTTTAGCCAAGTTATTTGCACTGGAAATCCAAATTTGTCAATTTGAGGTAAAAATGTTTTCACCTAATTCCCTATCATTTTAAACATCTAATAATAACTTTAAAAAACACTGTATTGGTGAGTGTTATGGTGTTTTATTTATTATCCACAGATTTGCTGTAGGGAAAAGCTATGACCCTTTGTTTTATGTGTTTGGCCACATATAGATGATAAGAAGCCCAATGTCTTTTAATGGGACTAATGGAAATGAAAACTTTATCTAATAATGACCCACCTTTATTTGTACATTTTTATATACTGTAGTTCCTTTGAATATGTCATCTATTATTTTAGATGTGGTCTTGTACATAAAGTATTTTGTAACAGAATCTCTCTATAAACTGAAAAAAAAAAAAGATCGCACGGCACCCATGCAGTGTTTATGATGTCAAGAGATAAGACTTATAATGGCTGTTCAATTTAAAAAGTAATTTTGTCCTTGGTTCATTTATATTATTTTTGTACAAATACTACAGTTAATTATAAATGGTTATTTTAGCTCAATTTAAAATCAGATTGTTAAAAGTAATCCTTTTTTGCTGGGCATGAATTTTAGGAAATAGACATGTAAGCACAGTTAAAAGGCTGAGCATTTCAGAGACTATTCCCTAGTACAGTACATGTTTACTCCACTGTAGACTTTATTCAATGGCAAAAGCTTTGAGGAGGAACCTTAAAGCTCAGCTGCAGCACTGCCAATACGTGTTATGAGCATATCTTTAATGTGGAGTCAAACATGCTGCGGGAAGCTAAACTGTAATTTTCTTTATTTTTTTCTTCTTTTATTTTTGAAACTCTTATCTAAAGTGACAGCTTCTTGTAGTACAACGTCTCCTGCTGGGAGAGTTAAGTTGAAGTATCTGAACGTCTTTCACTGAAATATCAACTCCTGGCCAGTAAAAAGATGCCCAAAATCACGGGAGATGGAGTTAAACGGGTCCCCTACCTTGGACGCAATGGCTCCTTTCATCACGAAGAACAAACCCCCAGGTTACCCTATTGAGGCTGAGAAACTAGTACAGTAGTTCTACAATTTTTGATCTGTGGCATCACGATGTGAAGCCTCAACAATTAGATGTAAAGGGTCCATTCATGAGGAATAACATTAGTTTGACCCTTTGTGTTAGCTCCTACTGGTAATCTTTCCATAAGCGTTGAACTTACTTTCAATTTGAAAAAGATGAAAAAGTCTTTTGCAAACCCCCAATACTGTTTTCATATCTATCAACTGTATCTGAGCAGAAAAAAGTAGCCTTACCTCGTTTTTTTCTACCACGAGCCAAGCCACTTGCAATCCTTCAAGTCCTTTAAACGGAACCTCCCTTGTTAGCATTTCCCACAAAACCTAGAAACAGCACAAATATTATCTGACAAAGGAGATTTTACAGCTTGTATAAATATTTGATGTTTAAAATTCACAGAGCGTGCCCATTCATAGTAACATTTTATGTGCTAAAGCTTTGCAGCTTATGTTGCCATAACCAAAAAAAAAAAGTTTTAGGCTCATATACACACTTTTTTGTTTAAAAGAAGACTGGTACAGCGCTTTAATATTATGCATGATATATATATATATATAATTTTAAAACATATTCATAACATTTGACTGTAAAATAAATATATACACACTCTCGCATACAAGTATACGTAAGCAAGAAACTATAACCTATCTTTTCATAGTCAAACACATTTTTAAACTGGTGGTGTTGATACAAAAAAAAAATAAAAAAATTAAAAACATAAACTAAAGTTGTCAATGCTTATAATGATCTGCTTGTTCTGTATACAATATCGTGCAATAGAACAAATCAATAGAATTGAGAAATGTAATGAGTATCTTAGAATACAATCATAATTCTGGCAACATGTCATCTGATAAGTTGGTTTAAATCTTTTTGTGAGGACATCATTAAAAATAATTATTTACTACAGCTTGCAGAACTTTGTCTTTTACAAAATTGCCTTCAGAGAACTAAGAGTCTTCCTGGACATTTGTAAAGTTTTATATTTCCTAAGGAAATTCTTTACTTCAATCATATATCAAAACACTAAGAGAACAAATAGTCATTATCAGAAAAAAATATTCTGCAGTATTGTAAAACAACATCATTACATCAATCCCAAAACAGTCAATAAAAATAAATTAAAAAAAAAAAAAAAAGCTGTAAGACTTGTCTTGATTTTATCAAATGATAGAAATCGTTTACCATGAAGTATGTTTTCTAACCATTTTGAAAAGAAAAAAAAAAAACGGCATCTAAAATATGTTCTTTTTAGTTATTTTTTCTAAATATGTTTAAAAAGTCAAGGTAATGTTCTCTCTGTGACATGACAGCCCTAGATGGACGCTGGCCTTCAACACAGTTGTAGCCCATTGCACTCTATCAATTGCTTTTAATCTCCATCTTTCTAATCCCAGCTCTATGTCCTCTTCCACTTTACTAATCCATTTCTTCTATGGTCCTTATCATCCTCATTCTTCCTCCTAGTTTTCCTTCAATAACCTTCTTAGGGATTCTCTCTCTCTCTGCTCCTTATCACATGACCAAGCTATCCAAGACACAGACTTCTTTTATCTGCTGCTGTATTTGGGGTTGCGTAGCCTTTCCATGATTCTTTATTTGTTCCATTGTTTCATTCTTCAATATAAACCATCATGAAAGAGCCCTCCTTAAAACTCTCTGTACACTTGTTTTAGTTGATCCAGTTCTGCTTTTATTATCCAGGTCTCTCCAGTATATGTAACAATCTTGAGAATAGTTCTTTAAATCTGAATACCAGTGACAAAATCCTTTATCTTGTAACCGTCTTTAGTGAATCATAACATCCCTTTTCTACATCTACTGTTCCTTTTTATTTCCTGGAATACATCACGGTCTTCATTTATTGTGGAGCCTGGGCAGCAGAATGATTTTACTCTCATATTTTTCTCTGCAATACATATTTCCTTTACATTTTTCTATTTGTTGCTTTTGTTTGTTGCGATCATGTACTTAGCCTTCCCGACACTCGCTTCCACTCCAGTTGTCTCAGATTGTTGCACTTGCTTGCCCATCTTTCCACTGTGTGTTATGCAAGTATTTTTATTAGGTATGCTTGGCAATTACAGATCTTGTCTCAGATTGAAAAGCAGGCCATTCTACTGTATCCAATCTCCTTTTTAGATTCAACTTGAATTAAAAGCTAAATTTGTATATGCTTACAGTTGTTTGAGGTCTAATATCTAGAATGGAACTACCCTGAATCACTAAACAACCAAGATCTTTTAGGATCAAAGAAACTAAACTCATGAAACTCATGAAACTATTTCTGGTCCAAACGTAAATTACTCTGACCAAGCACATCATAACAAGGCAACCATGGATTATCTATGACTCTCCTAGATACTGGTGGAGAAATACTATTCTGTAAATCCTTTTTTTTAATTTGTACATGAAATTTCCCTGGGGCGGGGGATATTTCCTTTCATTGTTATCTTCTACAATACACTCTAAATTTACCTTCCAGACAGTTTTTATTTTTCATTCTCGGTCTTCTCAGTTAGTCTTTTTTTTATTATCTTTTTCTATTTCTTTTCCTTAGTTTTATGGTTATGTGCTTTAGGCCTAACTTTAAAGGATAAGTAATGAACTTCTCATCCTAGTACATAACAAAAGAAGACACTTCCAGATGTTCACTGGAAAGAAGATTTTTTTTTTTTTTTTTTTTGCACGGCACACATAACTTCAAGGACATATGTAAATCCATTACAATTTTTGCATAACAGATTGTTTTGTTACTTTTGCTGGCTTACGTAACATTTGTGTTGGAGTACTCTTTTTGTTACTGATGTCAATACAAACGGAAATTTAGTTATGACATTATAACAAGCGTGTCATCTGATGCACTGTTTTTGTACTAAGTTAAAGACAAATAAAAAGACAATTAAAAAGAAATATCTCCATTTCAGTATTCTACTGATTGCCAATTCCTTTGTCAGGGTTACCTGTATACATAGTACAAAAAACTGATGAAAACTGACACTGAAGTTTATTGCACTCTGTGAAGTGTTATTGTAGGACACGCCAAACATGAGGATAAAATGTATAGCAATCCACCTTCTTAATAAATGGTATAGGTGAAAATAAGAAGCTGGTTTTAGGCACTGCAAATCCACAATTATTTCCATGGTTTTCTTTATATACTCCTCAAAAAAATTAAAGCAACACTTTTTAATCAGAGTATAGCATCAAGTCAATTAAATTCCTGGGATATTGATCTGGTCAGTTGAGTAGCAGAGGGGATTGTTAATCAGTTTCAGATGCTTTGGTGGTAATTAAATTAACAGGTGTACTAGATGGGCAACGAGACGACCCCCAAAACAGGAATGGTTTTACAGGTGAAGGCCACTCACATTATTTTCCCTACTCATCTTTTCTGACTGTTTTTCACTAGTTTTGCATTTGACTAGGGTCAGTGTCATTACTGGTAGCATGAGGCAATACCTGGACTCTACAGAGGTGGCACAGGCAGTCCAACTCCTCCAGGATGGCACATCAATACATGCCATTGCCAGATGGTTTGCTGTGTCTCCCAGCACAGTCTCAAGAGCATGGAGGAGATTCCAGGAGCCAGGCAGTTACTCTAGGAGAGCTGGACAGGGTCGTAGAAGGTCCTTAACCCAACAGCAGGACCCTTATCAACAGGATGAGCACTGCCAGAGCCCTACAAAATAACCTACAGCAGGCCACTGGTGTGAATTTCTCTAACCAAACAATAAAAAACAAACTTTATGAGGGTGGCCTGAGGGCCCGACGTGTTCTAGTGGTCCCTGTGCTCACTGCCCGACACCACAGAACTCGACTGGCATTTGCCATTGAACACCAGAATTGGCAGGCCCGCTACTGGCGCCCTTTTGCTTTTCACAGATGAGAGCAGGTTCACCCTGAGCACATGTGACAGATGTGAAAGGGTCTGGAGAAGCCATGGAGAACGTTATGCTGCCTGTAACATTGTTCAGCATCACCGTTTTGGTGGTGGGTCAGTGATGGTCTGGGGAGGAATATCCATGGAGGGATGCACAGACCTCTACAGGCTATACAATGTCACCCTGACTGCCATTAGGTATCGGGATGAAATCCTTGGACCCATTGTCAGACCCTACACTGGCGCAGTGGTTCATGGGTTTCTCCTGGTGCACAACAATGCCCGGCCTCATGCGGCGAGAGTATGCAGGCAGTTCCTGGAGGATGAAGGAATTGATACCACTGAATGGCCCCCACGCTCTCCTGACCTAAATCCAATTGAACACCTCTAGGATATCATGTGAAGGTCCATCCAACACCGCCAGGTTGCACCTCAGACTGTCCAGGAGCTCAGTGATGCCTTGGTTCAGATCTAGGAGGAAATACCCCAGGACACCATTCGTCATCTCATTAGGAGCTTGTCCTGACGTTGTCAGGCATGCATACAAGCATGTGGGGGGCCATACAAACTACTGAGTACCATTTTGAGTTGCTGCAATGAAATTGCAGCAAAATGGACTAGCCTGCTGCATAATTTTTTCACTTTGATTTTTGGAGTGTCTTTGAATTCAGTCCTCTGTAGGTTGATAATTTTCATTGCCATAAAACGATGGGGCATCCTTACATTCCTAACACATTACCCAGTCCATATCAGTATAGATATCCTGAATGATATTTTTCTCCATTGAGAGCTGATGTGTTTTCAAAGTGTTCCTTTAATTTTTTTGAACAGTGTATTTTCTATATGCTTATAAACTATAAACAGACACAAAGCTTTTTAAAAACATGAAACATACATTTTTGCATCAGGCTGATCCATTTACCATATTCATATATATATATCTAAGAAATATACAAGACAATATACACTGACTTTAAAGTGGTTCTAATCCTCAGACATAAAAAATGGACAACGCATATCCCTCTATAGTGTGTACTTGTCTCAATGAAGAGCACGAAGTTTCATTTCTCTTTGCCGATTTGTTCCTCTGCTATCAGCATGAATCACTTCTGACAAGTTTTCCTGACACCAAGAGAAAAAAAGATGACAGGGGAGGGACCTCCAGCAGATTGACAACCTCAGTTCTGTTCCTGTGTGCTATGTGGAGGGGTTTGTGTCTCTGCCTCCAATCAGCTCTCCTCACTGAGCTCTGGCAGTGTGTAATTTAAGCTCTCCGTCCCGATTTTTTAGAACTCTCAGACAAGCTTTATAAATTGAGCATTTTGAATGGATGTAGAGAAGAGAAGACTGCAGACAAACAAGTACACCTTATCTGGGAGAATTTGTTTCATCTTTGTGTATTACCTGAGGCCAGTCACTTTATTGGATATATGTAAGGGTTTACAGCCACTTTAAGCCTCTGTTTTACCCATGTTGCTAATTAAATTGGTAATCTTATTTTATGTAAAAAATTTCAACCATCGTTTTCTGCGCTGACAAGATAAACAATTATTGAAAGTGCATACATACTATATATTGATATTCCTATTCACAGAATATTTTAGATTTGATGCATTGTAAAAATATGGTTGACAGTCTCTCCCATATTTCCTGAATCCACATTGTTAGTCTATTATTACCTATGCCTGAAAAGCCTATATGATTGCAATCTATGCATATGGTCTCATCCCATTTTTACATAGGAACTAAAATGGCCTTTATTCATCCCATAGTCTACTATTAAGTTGATAGATCTTTATCTGAATAATATCTGTACCCTCTCCAAAGCCGTTTTTTATTCCAATTCTTAATTTCCATTGCCTTGTACCAGGTTAGTTCCTCCATGTAACTTCCTTGTGTCACATACGCTTATATTTTCCCTTAAAGCCCAACTCCAGGCTAAATTGTTGCTTTTACATTTCCTCCTTTAGGGGTATATTTTTTGAAAGAGGAAAGAACAAACAGAGGGCGCACAGGCCTAGTGCATTACCATAAAAATGTTTAATAATAAATAAAGTAGGTGTTGTACTCACAAACGACAATAAAGTCAAGGCACATCATAAAAGAACAGCTGGGTCAACACCACGCTGAGTAACAGTCCGCAATAGGGAGTGTAGACATCCAATAGGCTGACATGTTTCGAGGACTTACCTCTTCCTCAGAGCCCTGGGCTCCCGCTCCCTGAGCACGGCACCCTGCACTGTATTTTTGCAGAGGATGGTTGTAATGTAATTATGCCAATTCCAATTTCTGCATCGTCCTGGATCTGTTCCATTCCCTCATACCTTCTTTTTAAAATTTCCCATAACCCATCTGTGCTATTTTCTCTACATTTCCTTTCTGTGCTAGTCGGTATATTTACAGACTGCTCCATTACCTATCATAAGGTCTCTTGCACACTGCAACTTGAAAAACGCTCAATACAGCGGTTTTTTTGTTTTTTTTAAAACAGGTAAAATGTAGCCGATTATTTATAATGTGCCTTTTTTACACACAGACACGTAAACAAGAGCTGCGTATTCCTCAGTTAAAAAAAATTAGGACAATTTGCATTTTTGTCAGTAATGTACGCTGCATTTGGGCACAGATGTGCGCGAATACACGCATATGAGCGTAAACATTAATGAATTGTCACTAAGAATATATTGTACGTGCAAATGCGGACAAAAAAAAACCTCTGAAATTACGTTCAAACAAGCAGATGCTCAAAGACATCAGTACCATGTGTAAGAGGCCTAAATGAACAGTAAATCCAGACAGTGGGGCATTGTTAAAAGAAAATATTGTGGTTAATATGAGTACATTTTTCAATCCAATAAAAATTAATGTGTCCAGATGGCTAAAAATGAACATAATTATTCAGGTTTTTATTCAGGTTTTTGTCAGTGACTTCATGAGTTAGGATATAGAAAATATTGCAAAAATTCAATCCTCAAATAATATATTTGAGCCAGTGTAATATACTGAGAAGCAAGAGGAATTCAAGCATTCTCTGACCAGGCAACTTAAAAGGTAACTTACCACCCCATATGAGTAGGTATCACATGTCTCAGACACTGGAAGACTCTGAATAACTTCTGGAGCCATCCATGGAAAAGTCCCTACAAGGGACATATGTGTTGTGTGGGAATGAAACCTCGAGGCACCAAAATCACATATCTAGAGAAAACAAGGACATATTTTAGAGAACAAAAGCTCTCAATGGGGTGCAAATTTTCAAAATTCTATTGTAAGTAAGAGAGATTCCTTACCTTTAATATTCCATCCATGGTTATTACAACTAAAAACAAAAAGACAGGACAATCTGTAAATATGGTACATAAAATACTACCACTTCTTTTAGCCACCACTGAAAACAGCTCTTTTGAAAAAAAAACTTCTAAAAAAGTTGCCTGCAAAAGAAGACACTTTTAACTTACCTCTCTGGCATATGGCGAGTCCTCAGGGCATTCTCTTCAAGACCTGTGGGCTGCAGCAGAACTTCACACTTAACACTTCAGGAGTCGGGTCGGAGCCAGATACGAAAGAGTATGTTGGCGGTCATAGCTCTGCAAAAGTTAGGACTCACCATACGCTAGAGAACTGAGAACTAAAAGTCTTTTTTGGCAGGCAGCTTTTTGAGAAATTTTTCAAGTGACAAAATATCAAAGCATAAACCTAAAAATAGTACTTCACTGTATGTTAAAAATTACAATGGCCAAATCCTAAAGATCATTCATGATCTTTTAAGGATTTTGCAATTTTAAGTGTATAAATATGATTTTTAACAGTAAATATAATCGGTGGTTTCATTACACATATGGAAAGTTGGTACCAGGGACGTTCCAAGGTGTTTCCTGAAATACATTCCTGTGTCTTTTTTTAATAAAAGTTTGGGATGTAGGTACCTATGAATTGTGGTGATAGATGGCCCAACTGTTCATATACTATACAGTTGCAAGAAAAAGTATGTGGAACCCCTTAGGATTACGTGGAGTTTTGCATGAATTGGGCATAAAAATGTGCTCTGAACATCATCTAAGTCACAACAATAGAAGAACACAGTCTGCTGAACATAATACTACACAAACATTAGATGTTGCCATGGTTTAATTGCACATAACATGTAAACATTCACAGTGCAGGGAGGAAAAAGTATGTGAGGTCCTAGCTTAGTGACTTCTCCCAGAGCTAATTGGAGCCAGGGAGTGAGCCAACCTTGACTCCAATCAGTTGTGATGATATTGGATGTGTTGCTGACAGCTGTCCTGTCCCTAAAAAAACACACACACCTGTTTTGGGTTTACTGGTTTCAAGAAGCACTGTCTGATGTGAACTATGCCTCGCTGAAAAGAGCTCTCAGAAGACCTACGATCAAGAATTGTTGACTTGCATGAAGCTGGAAAGGGTTACAAAAGTATCTCCAAAAGCCTTGATGTTCATGTGTCCACGGTAAGACAGACTGTCTATAAATGGAGAAAGTTTAGCACTGTTGTTATTCTCCCTAGGCGTGGTTGTCCTGTAAAAATAGCTGCAAGAGCACAGCGCAGAATGCTGGAGGTAAAGAAAAATCCAGAGTGTCAGCTAAAGACCTACAGAAATCTCTGGCACATGCTAACATTTTTGTTGACACATCTACAATAAGGAAAATATTAAACAAGAATGGAGTACATGGGAGGATACCACGGAGGAAGCCATTGCTGTCCAAAAAGAATATTGCAGCACATTTGAAGTTTGCAAAAGAGCACCTGGATGTTCCACAGCACTACTGGCAAAATATACTGTGGAGAGATGAAACCAAGATTGAGTTGTTTGGGAAGAACACACAACACTATGTGTGGAGAAAAAAAAGGCACAGCACACCAACATCCAAACCTCATCCCCACTGTAAAACATGGCGGAGGGAGCATTGTGGTTTGGGGCTGCTTTGCTGCCTCAGGGCCTGGACGGATTGTTGTCATCGATGGGAAAATGAATTCCAGAGTTTATCAAGACATTTTGCAGGAAAACGTACGACCATCTGTCCGCCAACTGAAGCTCCGCAGAGGATGGGTGATGCAACAGGACAATGACCCAAAGCATACAAGTAATTCAACAAAACAATGGCTGCAACAGCACAGTATACGCCTTCTGGAGTGGCCCAGTCAGAGTCCTGACCTCAACCCGATTGAAATGCTGTGGCATGACCTTAAGAGAGCGATTCACACCAGACATCCCAAGAATATTGCTACACTGAAACAGTTTTGTGAAGAGGAGTGGTCCAAAATTACTCCAGATCGTTGTGCAGGTCTGATCTGCAACTACAGGAAACGTTTGGTTGAGGTTATTGCTGCCAAAAGAGGGTCAACCAGTTATTAAGTCCAAAGGTTCACATACTTTTTCCTCCCTGCACTGTGAATGTTTACATGTTATGTGCAATTAAACCATGGCAACATCTAATGTTGTGTAGTATTATGTTCAGCAGACTGTGTTCTTCTATTGTTGTGACTTAGATGACGTTTAGAGCACATTTTATGCCCAATTCATGCAAAAAACTCCACATAATCCCAAGGGGTTCACATACTTTTTCTTGCAACTGTATAATGCTATCCATACAAGCATTGATTTCTCTCCTCCATCCATGCTAAACAACTTACTGAACCTACTGGCTATTGTGCTCAGACAGCTGCAGAACCTGCAGATGTCGTCTCAACACCGGAACAGTGACTGCATCTGAAAATTAGCTTTTCAGATCTTTCGTTTCAATATGTTTATTGGGTTTGACAATACACATGAAACGTTAAAAATAAGCATATGGTTCGCCCATGCAGAGGCTGATTAATTAACAACAAATACATGCTTAGCAATAATAGTTACAGTCAAGGATATCCAAACAGAAGGACACTGAAATATTGGGAGGATATCAATAAGCTGAAACTGTAATAAAGCCATGTCCCAAAATGTACTCGCAGACACCAAAGGGGAGGTTCTCCTCCTACAGCCTAGCCCGTGAAGCGGTAATTGCGAGAGCAAAAAGGAAAGAAAGAAAAAAGGGAGTATAGTCAAGAGAAGGAAAGAAGGAGGGGGGGGAATTCAGATTGGGGGGCTCCAAAAGGAGTAGTCAGACAAGGCCTAGGCAAAGAAAGGAAAGAAAGAAAAAAGGGAGTATAGTCAAGAGAAGGAAAGAAGGAGGGGGGAATTCAGATTGGGGGGCTCCAAAAGGAGTAGTCAGACAAGGCCTAGGCATGTAGATTGGAGTGATGGAAAATCATATGAAATCCAAGGTTTCCAGACCTTAAGAAATTTAGTATGGGAATCGTTCAGAATACTGGACATGGAGCATCATTGTGGTTATTTGTGTCTTTACCCTCTGAAAAGCTACACGTTGGGTCTTACAGGCTTGCACTATGGTCCGTTTAGCTGAAATAAAAAAAGTATGTAGCCAATTTCTGCTGTGGTTCTTCAGCTTTTCAATCAATTTGTTTCAAGGCGTGTGGTCTTGACAACAGGTGTCAGCCAAAACTTGAACTGTGTATAGACATCTTAATTCCATTTACTAATCAATGAAAGATAAAAACGGATTGGTTTGCTTGAACCTACAGTAATTTCACTTTCCTTTAAGGCCATCAGAGAACAAAGATAACTGAGGAACATGAACACAATGCATAGAATTCTTACATATATCTTGTATACTTTACCATTTCTAGACTTGAGATCTCGGTGTATCACACGGATTGGGGCCTCCATGTGTAAGTAGTGCATTCCTGTTTACAAAAAGAAACAAAAAGTGTGAATCCAAAGTATTTTTTACTTCTGCATGAACTTTCTCTATCCTAAAGAACATGCAAAATGTGATTTTGAGTATTAAACATTTCTTATCAATTAAACTGATACCACTTCAATATTAGCAGCTTATTTGTAAAAATTAGAAAGTACGTATAAACTATCACCAGCGAGTTTGAAACTTGTGCATGTCCAGCATTAGCGCACAAATAAAAAACAATCATATCAAAATGACTATTAGATCCAGAGACACAGGCAGCTAAAAGTCTATGCAAATCTCCACTTTTCCTGCTAAAGCTGAGCTCCCCTTTCTGCACCATGTGTTACTGGTACTTCAATATGATGGGTAACTTTATGACCAATAAGGGGAGATTTGACTGCATGGGGGCCAGAGACACTGAGAGACAGTAATAATCAAGCAGTCTTTGTGCACCACTAATAAACAGAAGACAGAACTTAGATATGTAATGAGCATAAATAACGGTCCCATGTCCATATAAATGTACAAACTACAATACAGAAAAAAAGTCCTTACTATACACTCACCAGCCACTTTATTAGGTCCACCTGTTCAATTGCTTAGTAGCACAGATTGCTAATCAGCCAATCACATGGCAGCCACTCAATGCAATTAGGTATCTAGATGTGGTGAAAACAACTTGCTGAAGTTAAAAACCGAGCATCAGAATGGGGAAGAAAGAGGATTTAAGTGACTTTGAACGTGGCATGGTTGTTGGTGCCAGATGGGCAGGTCTGAGTATTTAAAAAAACTGCTGAACTACTGGGATTTTCACACACAACCATCTCTAGGGTTTACAGAGAATGGTCCGAAAAAGAGAAAATATAAGTGAAAAAGCCTTGTTGATGTTAGAGGAGAATGGGCACACTGGTTACTCCGACATTCAGATGGTAGGGTCAGAATTTGGCATTATCAATGTGTTTTGCGGGTGCAATGCAGAGGCTCCTGCATGGTTTACATCCCAGTTCTAGGTCCGTAGGGAGATACAGACCTTCCTTTATGGGTATGGAGGATGTAAACAATGGACTAAAAGTGCGGTGATGTCACCACATTTGTGTTGGCCCTCTGTGAGTTCCTCTTCCGCAATGGCAGTTGGGGACTTGTAGTCTATATACCCCGTTAATGGATCTGTAAGTGGATGGATGGGTAAGGCCATGCACAGCCACAATATATTCATAAAAACAACAGGACGCTCCAAGGGGAAACACCCCGTCATCCAGGTAAGTAGGGAAGGAGAGGCAGATTGAAGGTACGGGGGGGGGGGGGGGGCAGGGAATGTGACTAGGTTTCAGGCTATGCCCTAAATATGTGTGTACACACAAAACATGGTGACAAAGGTGGACTATGACTTTAATGAGTACACCTTAGAGAGGGGAGGTGAGGGAGCACCCGAGGGAGTATATTCAGTAAGATCTCAGTGACAACTTAAATTGTCCTAAGCAGGAATGCAATGGTTAGCAAGCCTTGCCCATGCACAACCAGACTAACCAGCTGTAATGGGCAAACACACAAACATAGAACTGACAAAAACATGGTGGGAAACCTTTCTCCAGGTAGCCATCTTCTATTAACAATGCGTTCCATTTTAGCAATTCTTTTTATTTTGTTTATTCACATTGAGATGGTCACTTTCATTCATATAACAAGTGCAAAAATAATACATTAACATTAGTTAAAACTATTAAATTGCTTGTGAAGGCAATATAAAATTCATATATGCAGAACATCCCTACAATACACACATATGCAGTGGCGTATTTAGGTTTCATGCTGCCCTAGGCAATACAAAAATACCCCCCCCCTTCCCCGCAGAGAGAGCCTGACATTGACCAACAACACCCCTGCCCCCCCTACCCCCCAAAAGAGGCTTCCACTACCACCTCCCCCCATACACCCAGTGTTAGTATCAGATTTCCTGCCGCACTATCACACCCAGTGGCGTATTTAGGTTTCATACTGCCCTAGACAACACAAAAATACCCCCCCTTCCCCGCAGAAAGAGCCTAACATTGACCAACAACACCCCTGCCCTCCCCCCCAAGAGAGGCTTACACTACCACCTCCCCCTATACACTGGCAATCCACCTCCCCCATCCCCACCCCCCCTGGCGCTAGAAAGACACTCACCTTTACAGCTCCGCACATTCCTCGGAACGAGAGTAAGTTTCTGCATACACCGTCACCCTCTCTTGGATCCCATCTGCCTATGCCATGTGTGTCCCTTCTTCTGGGTGGTGATGCTGCCCCCCTGAAAAATGCCTTGTTTGCCTTGTGGTAAATATGCCCCTGCACATATGTTATATACCTTTAAAGACTCAATGAGTGCAGAAAAATTTCTGTTGCTCTGTGCTGAACAGACTCCTAATTTCCTAGTGTGGGTTGACAATGTGCAACATTTTTGTGGACTTTTGTGGCGTCAGCCTTAACCAATGTATTTTGCTAAACTACTGAGCCACTCCCACTGTATCTAATCCATAGCACAGGGACTAATTTACCTGTAGTCCAAAATAAGAAAAGGAAGAAAGAAAGTCTGTTTGAGATGACACAGAAGTGTGCACAGGACAGCTCTGAAATTCTGATAAGATAAACATGTATTTTTTGCACATAAAACAAATATAAGAAAATGCTTCCAACAGCGTAGGTAGCCCTTATGCACACGGGACGTTTTGATAACGTGAGTTTTTCAGGTTCTTTTTAGCGTTTTTGCAGTACCATTTAGCGCCGTTTTTCCACATTTGCGGTTTTTAGTGTTTTTTTTTTTTACCAAAAAAAAGTTTTTTTTTTTTTTTTTTTTGGTCAAAAAACATCCAAAAACGCTGCTTTGCGGCGTTTTACTGCGTTTTTACAGCTAAAAACTCCTCTACAAAACCCACTAGTTTTGAGGGGTTTTTTTCCTGCCAAAAAAGTTGATTACAGACTAGGTGTGCATGAACACATAAGATAACATGCAGGGGGGTTTATTGACTGTAGAAAAAAACGTCAAACGCCAAAAACAGCCGCTGTAAAAACGACAAGTGTGCAGGAGGGCTTAAAGTGGTTGTAAACATCTGACACTAAATATAAACAAAACATATTCCACTATAGTGTGTACATCTCGCTATCTGTAACACCAAGTGTCATTCTGTCTGTCATGCATCAGCATGAGTCATTTCAGTTTTTCTGAGACCAAAAGAAAAATGGTAACAAGAGAGGGAGCTCCAGCACACAGCCTGTGATTGACAGCCTCAGCCTCAGCTCTGTTCCTGTGTGCTGTGGGATTGGGGGGTGTCCCTTTTCTCCAATCGCCTTTCAGAGCTCTCTTCACTGTGCTCTGCAGTGTGTAATTTCAGCTCTCCTCCCCATTTTCGGACAGCTCAGGCAAGAGCTATAATTTCTGGACTTTGAATGAATATAGAGAATAGAAAACTGCAGATTAACAGGAACAACTAATATAGGAGGATTTGTCTCATCTCTGTGTAATATATATATATACACACACACACACACACACACACACACACAAACATTAACACAGAAACTACAGGTGAAACTCAAACTGCAAAGCAAGATAGTTCAAGCCGTGATTTGTCATAATCGTAATTGTCGTGATGATTATGGCTTACAGCTCATGAAAACTCCAAATCCACAATCTCAGAAAATTTGAATATTCCATGCAATCAATAAAACAAGGATTGTACATAGAACAATATGGGACTTCTGAAAAGTATAAGCATGCATATGTACTCAGTACTTGGTTTGGGCCCTTTTGCAGCAATTACTGCCTCAATGCGGCAGGGCATAGAAACTATCAGCCTGTGGCACTGCTGAGGTGTTATGGAAGACCAGGATGCTTCAATAGCGGCCCTCAGCTCTTCTGCATTGTTCGGTCTCATGTCTCTAATCTTTTTCTCGGCAGTGCCCCATAGAGTGTCTATGGGGTTCAGGTCAGGCGAGTTTTCTGGCCAATCAAGCACAGTAATCCCACGGTCATTGAACCAGGTTTTGGTGCTTTTGGCAGTGTGGACAGGTGCCAGGTCCTGCTGGAAAATGAAGTCAGCATCCCCATAAAGCTCGTCTGTGGAAGGAAGCATGAAGTGCTCCAAAATCTCCTGGTTGACCCTGGACTTAATGAAGCATAGTGGACCAACACCAGCAGATGACAGCAGACTATGGAAACTTCACACTGGACTTGAAGCATCTTGCAGTGTGTGCCTCTCCATTCTTCCTCCATACTCTGGGTCCTTGGTTTCCAAATGAGATGCAAAAGTTGCTCTTATCAGAAAAGAGAGCTTTGGACCACTGAGCAACAGACCAGGTCTGTTTTTCTTTAGACCAGGTAAGATGCTTCTGACGTTTGTTGTTCAGGAGCGGCTTGACAAGAGGAATACGACATTTGAAACCCATGTCCAGGATCCGTCTGTATGTGGTGGCTCTTGATGCACTGACTCCAGCCTCAGTCCACTCCTTGTGAAAGTCTCCAACACTTTTGAATGGCCTTGTCCTGACAATCCTCTCCAGGCTGCGGTCATCCCTGCTGCTTATGCACCTTTTTCTTCCACACTTTTCCCTTCCACATAACTTTCTATTAATGTGGTTTGATACAGCACTTAGGGAACATCCAACTTCTTTTGCAATTACCTTTTGAGGCTTGTCCCTCCTTATGGAGGGTGTCAATGATGGTTTTCTGCACAACTGTCAGGTCAGCAGTCTTTCCCATGATTGTGATTCCTACTGAACCAGACTGACAGACCATTTAAAAGGCTCAGGAACCCTTTTTACAGGTGTTATGGCTTAATTAGCTGATTAGAGTGGACACTTTGAGCGAGAATATTGCACCTTTTCACAATATTCTAATTTTCTGAGATTGTGGATTTGGGGTTTTCATAAGATGTAAGCCATAATCATCACAATTATGACAAATCACAGCTTGAACTATCTTGCTTTACATGTAATGAGTCTATCTCATATATTAGTTTCACCTTTTAAGTTGCATTACTGAAATAAAGAAACTTTTGCATGATATTCTAATTTTTCGAGTTTCACCTGTACATACATACACACATACATACACACTATAAAATTGTATTTTTAACACAGGCAGTAATTTCCCAGTCTATAAGTAAGGCATAGAGATATAGAGTATGGAGCTCTGAAAAGAAAATAATGTGTAGAAACTTGATAGAGAGAGGAGAAAATAGCTCACATACACTGAACACTTTTTTTTTTCCCAGGAAAGAGAGGAAGAACAAGACTTTCATATGTTTATTTTAGAGAAAGTCACACCGAGGTTAAAACCGTTAAATGAGCTGATTTATTGGCATGTACCTAGACTATAAAAGCAGGAGCTGCTTCCCTACTTTTAAGTGTGGACTAGAAATAGCTCTGAGCAAAAACAATGACCTCTGTAATTAGATATGTGAGCAGGTCAATGTGTAAAAAGGAGGTTTTGACTTTAAAACTCTTCAATGCATACAAATTTACTACAAGAAGAATTAAATCATGGCAACTTTGCCATAAGTGCACATAGGGAATTAGATCATTCTTGTTCTGTTAAGTTGAATGGATGCCGATAGGAGCTTCCTGCAAAGTCACAGAAAGTGAGGTACGTTGGTGTTTGGTATGGAAGCCCAAGGCTTGTAGTTTCTAGATACAAGACGATCAGCCTTGAAAAAAAGTGAACTTAAAGTGTTGCTAAACCCAGGACACTGCATTCACTATATCTGGTCTCCCACAGTACACAGAAATGCAATTATTTTAGTAATAAAATCAGCAGTTAGAGCAGTCTTGTGATTAAGATCAGTGTCCAGCAGAGCACTGGTTAAAACTTAAAGGAGGAGTTTTCATTCCCCTGTGACTGTCCTATGAGGGTGCATAGCCCCTGACCCTCTGTCTGGACAGTACTGATTGGCCCTGTATTGATCAAATTCACTATCTCAAGAAAAAAAAAAAAAAACTCTCTAGCAATACACACCAAACTCAGCATGTGCAGCTTGCCCCCAAGGCTTTGTTTTTGTTCTATCAGCAAATGGATTGGGGACAGTAGAAGAAGGAAAGGATCAGAGAAGACAGGACCAAACATCCTTTTTATACAATGCAGAGGATTAACCCCTTAGGTTCCACAGTGAGTATACCAAACATGCTTTACTGCATATACAGACTGATTTTACAGTTGTGGGTTTAGTAACAGTAACCATTAGACCTCTGGAAGGTATTACCCCCTTCATGACCGGAGCATTTTTTGCCATTCAGCACTGCGTTACTTTAATTGACAATTGCTAATTCATGCCACACAGTACCCGGTAAGATTTGTATCACTTTCTTTCACACAAATAGAGCTTACTTTGGGTGGTATTTGGTCGCTACTGGGTATTTTATTATATAAATGAACAAAACAAAAACAATATTTTCTACTGTTTTTAATAAAACATATCCAATCAAATTTCTTCATAAATTTGGGCTAAAATGTATTCTGCTACGTCCTTGCAGAGGCCCGCATGGCTGCGGTTTTTTCTTTTAATTTTATAGCTAGCGGAAGGGGGTTTGGGTGAAGATCCTTTGCTAGTTGTCAAAGTGGGGGATCGATGGGGAGTGGGGGCAGGTGCTTTCATATGTTACATATTACACCTTGAATATGGATGTAACATGCTATGAAAGGTGAATCCTTTCCTTTACATATTAACAATCAGCGGAAGAGCTTTAAATAGTACAATGACCATAGTTTGGGCACAGGTGCATTTTAACTAGTTCTCCATACGGCATCCTTTCCGGAACACGCATTGCGCATGCCTGCAGAGCCACGCTGTGGCGTGATCTGTCATCGGCCGTGTACGTCAGACATGGCCGATGACAGATCTGTGTACAGGCCCTGTTGCCAGTACCATGTGACCGGCTGTGACCAATCACAAGTCACATGACAGTTGTATATAATGGATGGCTTCCTTTCATGCCATCCATTGTATACAAGTGTGTCTAGCTGTGAATGGTCACCGTGATCACATGCACAAGCTGGGCCAATCACAGCCCAGCTGTGTCATGTGATTAGCTGTGGCCAAATCACAACTTATCACCAAAAAAAAAAACCCTGAATGAATCGATTTCATCCAAGTAAATGCTAGCATATAGCAAAGTAATTCTTTACTATAAGCTAATTGTGTAAAAAAAAATACTGATCACTTGCCCAAAGTAGTACAATGTTACTATGGTAACATTATACTACTTTGGTCATGGTGCAATATGAAAACAAAAATCTTAAAAAAAAGAGAAAAAAAAATTTAATAACAATTTAAAAATAATAAAAAAATGAAAAAATAATTATCAATTTTTTTCCCTACTGTCACCAGTCAGTGTCCCTGATAACCGCCATGCCAGTTATATGATGACGCTGTACTGCACTGGTAATATGTTAAAAAAAAAAAAAAAAAAAACATCATTTTTTTAATTTCCAGAAAAATTTTCAGAAAAATTACAAAAATGACAACTTCAAAAAACTCGCCTTGCCTGTTATGAAATACGTCAGACTGTCTACTTTGCAAAAAGGGGTCATTTGGGGGATATCTGTACTGTTCTGACATTCTTGGACCTCAAAAAATTAGATTGGCTTTTAGTACTTCAGGATTGATCAATATTCAGATTTATCCCATAGTTTGTGAACTCTATAACTTTCCTACAGACTAAATAATAAATACTAATTTGGGTTATTTTCACCAAAGACATGTAGCAGAATACATCTTGGCCTAAATTTATGAACAATTATTTATTTGCAAACTTTTGTAACAGAAGAAAGAAAAACGTGGGGCCTTTTTCTAAATTTTCGGTCTTTTTTTTGTTAATTTAGCAAAAAATAAAAACCCCGGCGGTGATTAAATACCACCAAAAGATAGCTCTAGTTGTGTGAAGAAAATTATAACATTTTAGTTTGGGTACAGTGTTGTATGACCGCACAATTGTCAAAGTGTGAGAGCGCTGAAACCTGAAAATTGGCCTGGGCAGGAAGGGGTAAAAGTGCCCGGTATTGAAGTGGTTAACTCTATTCCTAACTCTTAACCTGAAACACCCTTAAATACTAAAGCTAAACTCCAGCCTTACCTTCAATTTTGCACAGTTTTACAATCTCTTTTCCTGCAGTGAAATTTTATATCCAGATTTCACTTCACGCTGTAAGCTGCTTACAGTATACTGCAGCAAATCAGAGAATGCCTCACTTACTGGCTGGAAGATGTCCATTATCATCTAGCCCTTACTTCCCCTACCATACTATCCCTGGCCTGCCCCTTTTCATCCACTGCATTTCCATTCATTCAATCACAGAGATTGCAAATGCAGCCTGATTAGGAAAGCCAACTTCGCCAAACTGACAATACATAAAATAAAACTAAAGGCAAAATCTTTTTTTTTAGATTTGGAGAATGATGTGGCGTTAGATCCATTGTCTGTTTTTTGTTTTTTTTTGCTGTATGTGTTGTTACGGAGATTTACTCTTTATTGTGCTGGGAGAATTAAAGGAAGAGTCTGGCTGGTTGTAATGAACATCAGAAAATATTTTCTATGATAAAGTCCATTATTTATCACTTGCATCCACACTCCATTGATTCCCACTACTTCAATATTTAACAGTGAATGGCTTATGCTCACACTAAGATAATGGCTCAGCATGAATGTTCGCATCTTGCCTCTTACCTTTTGCTACATCTGTAGCCCAGGCCATGATATGCTCCATGTCCATGTCTTCACTCCTATTGCTATTAATGTAGTCATACAGTGATCCACACGCAGCATATTCTGTAAAATGTAAAAAAAAAAATACATATTAAAAGAAATATTACAATAAGAAGAAATGGGTACTTGTCTGTTTATTCACCAGATTTATTTATATATACACACATCTAAATATATATATATATATATATATATATATATATATATATATATATATATATATATATTTTTTTTTATATATATATTTAAATAAAACATATAAAAATATATATATATATATATATATATATATATATATATATATATATATATATATATATATATATAATTATAATAAATCCGGTGAATTAACAGACAAGTACCGAAGAAATGTACATCCACAGTTTTTCAAGTAAAGCAATCAGTCATGTGGATTTGTCCCAACCATGCCTTAAAGGGAAGTAAAACTTTTATTGCAAGGCTTGTATATGTTAGAATGGTTTGAGAAAGCAGGTAACATATTGGAGGGAATTAATTAAAAACAAACAGATGACATTCTGTGAAGGAATCCCATAGAAACCAGTTATTACTACCTGACAATATGGTGCCTCCTTTTGTCTAATAGCAGCAGATACACAATAGACTACAAAGCAATGCTAAAGAAAAGTCAAATATCACAATTGCTTATAATATACGGTATAGAGGGTGTGTATTTTTCATGCCAAACTATACATTATATTAGAAGCTCTACATAACAACATACACTCTAGACATAAAGGTAAAAATCCTTCTCTATGCAGTTCCTCCTCAGTCTTAATACGTATCCAAGCCTGTTCTCGATCTAGCGATGTGCACAAGAGCAGTGTCTATGGACACACAGAGCTGGCTTGGGTGCAAGCATGCATGGGTGCCCCCAGAGCAAGTAGCAAAACTGTTGCACAGAGCAGGTAAGTATAACATTTGTTCTTTTTTTTTAAATTTACCCTTATTATTATTATTACTTTAACATATTTTATCCATGTTATCTGCAAAAGCCTCCATCGTGTAGACATCCAAAAGCTCAGACTGTTGGAGGGTGCTGCCATCTTGGATGTGATGTCAGCAGACTTTGATCCATCACTCAAGCAAAACACTATAGTATTCCCCTGGCACCTACATAAAAGGTTATGTAGGGAGGTGAGAGGAAGAGTGAAGGAGCTGGGCCAGCAAAGACCGTAGTTGGATACTGTCAAAAGAAGATAGGGCTATGACACGGCAAGAAAGGGGTGGGTAGTTGTGTCTGTGCTAGCTCTTCCTAGAGTGGTCGAATTCCTTAGTAAGTTCAAAAGGTACCTTACAAGAGCATAAAAATTAATTTATGGAAAAGAAAAACGATGCAGGTAAGCATTTCAAATATGCTTCTCTGTGCTTTTAATAGCAATGGTTTAAGTTGGTAACCAAGTCCCTTTAAACTAATTGCTGCCAGCCCATGCAGATATGTGTGCCGGCTGCTCTTCTGTGCCATATCATGTACAGGTACATGATCTGTCATTTCTGGGCAGGGGGCGCATGCCTGCCGCCCCATCTGTTCTGTCATGTGCTACACCACAAGTCGATCAGCAGGTCCAGGTCAATGATTTATGGCTGGGACCTGGTGATTGACTAAGTGAATGACAGGACAATGTTCTGTGTTGACAAAAAACACATAGATCTCTATAGGACAGTAGCAATGAGTCTGTTTTTTTTCTCTCTGCAAAGCATGGAGTAAAAACAGGCACAGGGCTTAGTAAAAGGAGCACACAATACACACAGTACACATTGTTACGCACACCATTAATACTTTGATTGCCCCTAGATGTAAACCCCTTCCCAGCCAGTGTCATTAGTACAGTGGCATACTATTAGCACTGATCACTGTATTAGTTCCATTGGAGCTGTTGGGTGTCAGTTAGCCAGTTCCCACAAAGTGTCAGATTGCCCACCACATTATCACAGTCCCACCATAAGTAGCTGATCACCGCCATTACTTGTATAAAAAAAAAAAAAAAAAAAAGTAAAAATTCCGGTATATATCTCATAGTTTGTAGACGCTATAACTTTCACACAAACCAACTAATATACACTTATTGGGATTTTTTTTTTCTACCAACGATGTGTAGCAGAATACATTTTGGCCTAACAATTTATGAAGAAATGTGATTTTAAATTTTTTTAATTGGATATGTTTTATAATAACAGAAAGTTAAAAAAATATTGTTTTCTTTTCAAACTTTACGGTCTTTTGTTGTTTATATAATAAAAAATAAAAACCCTGTGGTGATAAGATGCCACCAAAATAAAGGTCTATTTGTGTGAAAAAAATTATATAAATTTCACTTGGGTACAGCGTTGCATTTCCACTTCCAAATTGGCAAATTGTGTGGCTACAAACCCATTCAAAAATAAAAAAGAGAGAGCTCTGATGGTGGAATACAGTTGGTACAAGTTATTAAATCATACAGCAATAAAATAAAGCTGACAAAAACTCACAGTAAAGGTTATTGGCACATTTTAACTGACAGCGTGTGACGTCAGCCTGCTCAAGATCCCTTTAGATAAGTTTGCACATCCTACTATGAACATTTAGAGAGATGCTTTCTTTCCTTTAAAAACTGGTGTGTTTAAAAAAAAAGTTTTCAACCATCACCCAGTCAATCAGAACTAGAAAAATGGTTGAGGATCCCAATGGTGAACTGGGGATGGCAGATAAAAGGTAAAGATTTGCAACTTTGAACCAATGCACATACTCATTTCTGTAAAAGCAGCTCCTTCATTTTAACCAATGCACATACTCATTTCTGTAAAGTAGCTCCTTCATTTGAACCAATGCACGTACTCATTTCTGTAAAGCAGATCCTTCATTTGAACCAATGCATGTACTCATTTCTGTAAAGTAGCTCCTTCATTTGAACCAATGCACGTACTCCTTTCTGTAAAGCAGATCCTTCATTTGAACCAATGCACGTACTCATTTCTGTAAAGCAGGTCCTTCATTTGAACCAATGCACGTACTCCTTTCTGTAAAGCAGATCCTTCATTTGAACCAATGCACGTACTCATTTCTGTAAAGCAGGTCCTTCATTTGAACCAATGCACGTACTCATTTCTGTAAAGCAGATCCTTCATTTGAACCAATGCACGTACTCCTTTCTGTAAAGCAGATCCTTCATTTGAACCAATGCACGTACTCCTTTCTGTAAAGCAGATCCTTCATTTGAACCAATGCATGTACTCATTTCTGTAAAGCAGGTCCTTCATTTGAACCAATGCACGTACTCATTTCTGTAAAGCAGGTCCTTCATTTGAACCAATGCACGTACTCATTTCTGTAAAGCAGCGCACTACAACACACAGCTACCATGCGTTGTGGCACACTGTAGCAAATGCTCATTGGTTACATGGGATCAAATCCAGAATGAATGGTGTAGCATCGCACCAATGCGCATAAAACATTGTCATAGTGCGATGTTGGGAATGGAGAGTTAGGACCCATTCCCCCAATGTACATTAAGTTGTACTGGGCTATGTTGATCAATGAAGTCCTAATGCAGAGACAAGTTGAAATCTATTGTTCCCAATAGGACCAATTCGCTGTGTGAAAATGGAACATGCTGCAATTAAATGCAGTGTAACGTGTGGCACATATTAACTCTTTCGTGATGAATGGTGAAGGTGAAACAAATCCTAATGCCTGAACACAGCTTTGCAACCTTGACATGGGTTAGTAAAACTGTATGACATCACAACTATTCAGTGTACCCAGGTGAATTATACCTTCTTTATTTCAGGACAAAATGGGCTTTCATTTGGTGGTAAATGGTAATAGATATCTTCTATTTTTTTTTTATTTCAAAGGAAATATGGCATGAAATAGTAAGAAAAAAAATAATAATTTATCAAAATTTAGCTGTATATTTCTTCCCATTAGCATAACCTACCACCAAAGCACAACCCAAAATAAATTCTCCTGCCCCTGACAATCAGTGATACCACATATGTGCATGTTAGTTGTTATTTGTAGTAGAGCCCAGAAACCATAGCATGCATTTTGCTTTTTTTTTTTTTTTACCCTCCCAGAAAAACACTGACACTAAATTAAAAAAAATGCTTTTTTTTTATCCTACCTAAAATCCTAAAATACTCTGACCCTGATCTTTGAGCTTGACCTTGACCCTAACTTAGATCCAGCTCCAAATATATTTTTTTGTTTGGTAGGTTTTTTTTTTTTTTTTTTTTTTTACACAATGTTTACAGTTTTCTCCTCAAGCAAGGAAAGAAAAATACTTAGGGGTTGATTTACTAAAGGCAAACAGACTGTGCACTTTGCAAGTACAGTTGCACTGTGCAAGGGCATTTGCTCCAGAACTTAGTAAATGAGGGGGAGCTCTGCTGACATCCATTATCTAATCATGTGCAAGCAAAAATTATTTTTTTTTTTACTTCCATGTGATTGGGTATTCTTTGCAAAGTGAAGCTTCACTTAATTTATGAAACTCTGGAGCAAACACCCTTGCAGAGTACAACTGCAGTCAAAGTGCAGAGGGGTGGTCAGTCCGCCCCTGTTTGTGACTTTAGCCCTGTGTCCCCAAAGCATTCAACCCTGTAAAATTTCAGGACATTAGCAGCATTTGTATCACAATACTAACTTCCTGTTCTGTTATAACACAGGAAAAAAATGTTTCCTCTTTTCCCTGAAGTGTCAGCTGAAAAAGAGCAATGAATTACATGGAAAAGTGAACACAAAGTTAAACATCCCCATACAAGCATGGGAACTTGTTTATACATAGTTCTAAATTCTATTTATTAGCTCCCGATGCATTTTGTTTTTTATCATAGTGATCCTTTAAACCCTATCACCAAAAACTGATCGTTCATATTTCAATGGGAATCAAGTGGTAGGATTACTTGCCAGTTTATTGTCAGAGACTCCAACTGAGAAATCTCATGCTACTTTGTGTCACGATGTAGCCATAATAAAGGAGTCACTCTCTAACAGCAGAATTCAAAGTGCTGACAGGAGTGATGAGTGATGCCCTCATCAGTGGGCTTTTTCTCCTTCCCTGTCC